GGAGAAAGAAAGTTGGCGGAGTTGACGTGACAGCCTTGAAGGGAGCAAGCCGAGGCAGGGACCGGGCTGGAGGGGAGGATGCCAGAAGAAGCCGCCCGGGTCCCAGAACTGCGAGGACGACGTGATTTTGGGGAGTCCAGGGAGAGGGGGCACTGCCTTCCTGTGTTTGTTGGGCCTGTGAATTGCCTGCCGGCTCTTCAGACCCAGAATCCCTGCCAAAATGCATCTTATGATGCCGTACCTGGCTAGGCAGAAACCTCTTCAAGGGCTCATTTCATTGTTTTCAAACCTTCCTTTCCTCAGGGCTGATAACTTCTGTAGTGGGTAATTGTCTCATGTCAATCATGCAACCGTAGGTCCTAATAAATGCATGCTTGCCTAAGAGATGTATGCTCGGTGCTATCAGGAACTGGACAGTAATAGTCTTCAGGACTGATGGATGAAAGACTTTGCTAAAGCAACATGTGGTGCATGAAAGCAATCCTTGAGTGAAGGCCCCAGGTGTATTAAACTGCAGTGGTGAGTGCTGCATCACTAACTCAGTTCTTTATGCCATACAGTATTTGAGACCCATATCATGAGGAATTCTTCTATAAAATCAGAGGAAGACATTGCTGTTATGGAAACTGGTTTTATTATTTGGGGTCTTGTTCCTCCTCCTAGAAACTGGGTCAATAATCAATAATAAAGCAGAACCTAACAAAATGGGTGTTTTGCGCTGATACAATCTTTGTGAGTGAAGGGAAGAACAAGCAACTTCAGATCTATGTCTGTGTGCTCCGTGCCCCTCATCAAATACAGTGGAACAATTGATGTTAGCTCCCCCAATGGTCTTGATGTTGCATCTTAAGCAAAAAAGTATGATGTATTTAATAATTATACTGTGGTGCTTCTGATGTGAACAAAGAAAAGAAAATATGGCTTTGAAGAGACTGTGCCATAATGTAGGCCTGGTTTCTTTTTCCCAAGGGGTGAAAACATAGCTTGGGTTGGGGTCTTGGGGGAAGAATTACATATAGTAAATGCATGAATATCCCTTCCCTCATATAGCTGTTTGGGTTGAATTATTCTGGATTGCTATTTAAATAGTAGTAAGAGAAAAGAAATACACAAATAAACACCATATCTAGATTGGCCCTTTGAGAAAACACATGCCTTTGAAGTATGCAAGTCCCTTCTTTTCCATATCTCATTAAATGTCCCTGGTTTTTCTGGAAAAGTTGTTGACAGCTGTTGAATTCATATGCTCTTCACATGTGTTTTTTATTTTAAATAGCAGGTTTATAGTAATGAAAGCAGAAAAGTTTCTCATGTCATTGCTTTTGCTCTCAAACTAGAAAAAGAAGGAACTGTTTTGTGTGTGGTTAGGATTGGAGGCGGCCAGCCACCTAGTTGTTAATCCACTGAAATGTCTGATCTTGGGGTTTATAGTAGCCATTCTCAGCTTTTTTTTTCCTCTTTTGGTTATGATCGTAAATCTGTGAAAGAAATATAGGCCAAATCAGGACTGTATAAGTCACATAACCAACTTTATAAAGTGGTGTGTGAAGAATTGTTTCTAGTTTGTGGCTCCCTTCAAATGTGCTACGTGGCCACTGTTGAAAATGGCTGGTTTAGAGTAGAAAACTTTCTAATCCTGTGCGCTAGGTGTTTAGAATGAAAACAAAATTAGGATGCAGATTTCTATGAAGGACAAGATGTGAGGGTTCAACATTAGGGGCTTCTGTCACACTCAGTAAAGTATGAGACGGTTGTAACTCTTCAACATTGTCTTCATTTATTAGCAATTCAACATTAACTGCAACATCTTTCGGAACTGGGTTTAAAGTCTCTTGCCGTCTGAACTTCGACTGCAAGGGTGTCCAAACGTTACCAACAAAGGGATTGGTTTCATCAAAGTCCCATGGTCCAGATAAAATCTTCTCTGTAACTGGTGGTTCCCCTTCTTCTCTCTCAAGACCTAGTAGCGGTAGGTTCTCCTCGTCTCCGCTCCAACCCAAGAATGGGGAGTCCTCTCCTGGACTGGCCAGCCACGGTCCGGGAAGACCCCCATCTTCTGGAGCTCCATGAGATGCCATGTCTTCTTCGCCTCTTATCGCTCTCGCCATGGCTTCCCACTCCTCTCTCAGACGACGCCTCCACTCCACTTCAGTCTCACCCCAATAAGAGGGACGCGGTTGTAACCCTTGTCGTCTGCACCTCTCTTCTTCCTCATGGGGAACCTTACCCTGCTCCCATTTCCCTGTCCACGGATCCTGGACCCAAATCATCTCCCAACCGCCCGGAATGTCTTCCCACCTTCCCCTTATATCTTCTACCCCCGCCTCTATCGAGCCACCTCCCTTTCCTGCGAAATCCCCACCAGTTGACCCCGACATGTTTAACCCTTGCATTTCCTGTATTAAATCCCGGGTGTCTACCCCTTGATGTTTCAGACCCTTTCCTTTTCTCAACTCTTCCAACTCTTTAGTGTCCATCTCCTTGCTTTCTTTTCTAAGCGGAAAGGGTGGGGGAGAAGTCTGGGTCTCCTTAGATTGAGATTGGAGCGAAGGCACTCCTACATAAGCTTCCTGACCCTGGCTGGGGGTCTTACACAAGAATATGCCAGAATGTAACCAAAGTACCTTAAGTACATTTATTATTTTTTTTTATAATAGTGGTGTGGTAACCTGTCTACCTTTTCACTTGGAAACTATTTACTTATTACTAGGTGGCCAGGCTTTTAGATTAGGAAACAAGAGTAAAATTCTTGGCCTGGTTTGTGCCATGTGGAATAAATTGAATCAGTGAGCTTTGAAACAAAAGAGAGGGTTTTATGGAGCTAAACTTTAGAGTTAAAAATATATATTCTTTGCAAGTATTGTGCATTCTTGAGTTGACTAATTTAATTTTTAAATGGGGAAAACTTTATTTAGTTGTAATTATCACTGTCAGTGTATTAAGCAGGTATTATATATTGGGAGGCAAAACAGTAACACTGTGTATGAAGGGATGATGTCATTTCCCCTATTTTGCCATATGATGATTGCCATTTAGGAAACCTGTCGAAGGTAGAACCCTAGTTGCTAAATTGTATTCTCTGTAAAATCTACTGATCTATAGCAGGACAGGCTTAATCTTTAATTGTTCATGTCACCTTTTTGGTGCTTGTTTTATTCATATAACGTTGAGAAGATGGTGAAAATGGTAAGAGGAAAAAGCCTTTTCTTTTATTATCTACATTTGAAGAATATGGTCATAATGTAAAATTTTAAAGCATTAAAGTATGTCAAATGAAGGGCCAGTGTTAGCGTTTCTTAACTAAGTGGGTTGTGAGACTAGGTGGATGGCTGTTTAGATGGCTGTTTAGATGTTTTCAGTAAAAGATCTGTGATTTCTGTGGGGCCATCTAAGCATGTCCAGAGTCTTCAATTATGAGCATTTGTAGGCAAAATGAACATGGTCATTTTTTGGTGATAATGTTCGATATCTTTAATAGTGGTGCTTGTTATGTGCTGTAAAGTCTCCTCTGTCTTATTATCTTCAAAATGTCCTGTTTTTAACAGCATGTTCGGACTTAAGCCTGTGGGTTCCTTCAGGGAGTCAGTCCATCTTGTATTTGGTCTTCCTCTTCTCCTATTGCCTTTTATCTTTCCCAGTGTTGTAGTTTTCAGAGGATCCTGCCTTCTCATGTTGTGCCCAAAGTATGACGACCCTTCACTTTCAACATTTCTGCCTCCAGAGATAGTTCAGACCTGATTTGCTCTAGCACCCACTTGTTAGTCTTTCTGACAGTCCAGGGTATCTGCAAAGCCCTCATTTATAATTTATATCAGTTTTTGTTTCTTTAATGCATGTGACGTCTTATAACACATGTGTTATCTTGAATCTTTTCCAACTGTAAGATATGCCTAAACTTTCAGAAAATGAATCTGATGATTTAGCAGTGATCTACATGTGACTGTTAAGTAACAACTTATTTTGCAACATCAGCACTTGAGCAAATACAGTAATTTCCATTGAAAAGGGAGCGCTTGGTATGCCTATATTCTATCCACTGCAAGTCTCCTTGTGTCTGACTTGAATGGCAGTTTGTATTGCTTACCATTTGGCCATTTGCTAATTGCAGAGAATCTGGAGTTGAAGCTTATCCCTTTCTTTGCAAGGGCTTGGTTATTCTTGGGGACTTTGATCTACCTCTCTACTTCAGTGGTTCCTAACCTAAGAACACCCACATGTTGTTGGGAAATATCTTCCAGCACCCCCTCATAGTTGGTCCTATTGGCTGCAGCTTTTAGGAGCTGGGGAATCAATTTAAATAAATGTGGGTGTTGTTATTTTGGCAGTTCCCTTGGGCTCCTTTCTCTTTTTAAAAAACCAATTCTTTGAAAGTTGTATAGTGGCTTCCAACTACAGTGGTCAAATATTCTTTCGCAGTCACAACTATAAAAAGCATTCTTGCGTTGGGTTTTTTGTTTGTTTTATTCTCATTCTCTTGTGAATTGACAGCAGTGTAGACTAGAACAATTTGTGAATGATTGTCATCCCAAAACCAGTTAACTGAACTAGTTTTGATGACCATACAAATATAAGAGGGTGCTGCAAAACATTTAGCAAAGGTGGGGTCAAGCTCCTAACACTCTAGTAGCAGAAGCAATATCTGAGCATCTCAACATTTATGTTTAAAGTATTGGTCTCTATAAGCCAGAAAAATCTGCTGATCCTCCAACAAGTTCCATATTCAGCCACCATATGATGCTTTAACAGTCTCTGAGATATTGCCAGTAGGGGAAAAGTACAGAGACCTGTTATACCTGCCTCCAAGTGACATGGGCTGCACTGTAGAACCCTTGACAGCAAAAGTGCTGCTGGTGTTTGGTTTCAGTTTGTTGGTGAAGTATCCAAATATCTACTTTGATAGGAAGTTGGCTAGCGGAGTAATGTTCTGTTGGTTTTGTTAGATGGTTGTTTGAATTGTTCCCATTGAATGTGTGCTTTATAAGATTTCAGATATCAAGAGAGTTAAGGCATATGATCTTTTGTGCCTTGGGCTTTACTGGCTTGGAATTAGAGAACTTTCTAAACAAGTTTGCTGTTTTTATGAGTTATAGAGAGGGAACTGGGTGGTTGGCTTGACAATAGATTGGTTTATATATTGAAATAGCACGATAAGGTAAAGCACATCTTCTATGAGATTATTTTTATTATTATTTCAATTCAATTTGCAATTGCTCTGCAGTGCTTCAGTTGCTCTGCAGTGCTTCAGTTCACTCATTGTTCTGCAATGAGTGAAATCAGGGACTCTTAGAAAAGTAAAATGGTTGAAGGATGTTTTTTTTTACATTATTAATGTAGGAATAATTTGAATACAGGTCCATACTAGAATGGTTTGTAGCGCAAAACAGATACCATGCAAGAAGAGTAAGCACTGATGGAGGGAAATAGGAAAATAGATTGTTGGAGAAGAGATTCTATGAGAAGTACTATAATGCATTTAGCCTGACATCAGGAAACTGCTATTCTTGAAGACATCAGACTGCAGAATAGGTGCCTATCTATAAAAGAGTTGATAGACTTCTGGTGCTCCTAATTTCCACAATTTAGTAAAGCAAAGTGTGTAGTGTATCTTTTTGTTTAGCTTAAATAATTTTGGATTGAGCCTCTACTGTAGTGAATGTGAAGAGTTTTCCTAATGCTTTCTCTTCTGGGGCCTGACACCCTTCCTCTCCTAAAACCAGTTGTATGGCGCAGGATGGGATCTTCCATTAGCACCAGCAGTCTTAAGTAACTGTGCTTTAAAATGTTTTCAAACCAGCAGAACTGTTGTCTGGCATTGTCAGACATAACAGTTCTGTCCTGCTATATTGGATTCCAGTTTTCAGTTGTATTTGCTGAAATCAACAGGACACTTGAGTGTTGACCTCAGTGCCCCATTAATTTCAGTTAGAGCTAAGTTCAGCTAACTTATTCTGAACCCAGCCCAATATAGTCATAATTTAAAACACTCTCAGAAAAATTCTGTGTATATTTACCTGGCAGGTAATGGATCCTTCAGCACCTGTAAGGATTAGGAAATGCCATTTTGTTTCAACTTGTGCCATTTAAAGTTACTACATTTTGTACACAAAAAGTGTACAGCCTAAGTTCTTAGTTTTGTTGTAGAGTGTATAAGTGAGATGGAAATGTTATGAAGTAGTGACAACTCTTGTTATATTGAAACAAAGTCCAGGAAGGGGCAGTACTTCTATTGGGTCACTGAAAAGTTACAAATAAAATGAGCTTTCAAGTTTTCAAGAACTATTCATTAGGTAAAATGTGGTATTAAGGTTTGAGTTACTGTAATACAAATAATGGAAAAAAATGGTCCATATGATGAAACATGCTGGGCTTATGAGTCTTGACTGCCAACAAAACTCTTGCAGCAGATGTCTTTGGTGATTTTTAACTTCAGACAGTCTGTCCCCCAAAGTTACACCATTTACATTATGCTGGTGTGACTACACAAGAGGACTTTGACCAGTGATGTTGAGACTTGTACAGAACTGCCTTTCTGGTTTGTCTGTATATCATGCAATAATAGTTATGTGCTGTCAAGTCAATTTAATCTACTGAAACCTTTTTTGGGTGTACTCAGAAGTAGTTTACTGTTTTCTTCTTGGGATGCCCTGAGGTTGTGCAGCTTGCCCAAGGCCACACAGGCTGGCTCTACTGGCAAGAGGCCAAGTGGGAAATCAAATCCCTAACTTCTGACTCTGCAACCATATACCTAACTCATTGAGCTATCTAGCCAGCTTTGCCTATAAAAAGTACCGGTACATTGTAATTTTAGGGATTTAATTCCTCAGTCACTGAGCTGAAGCAGGCTAATTAAAAACTTGGCTCTTTCGGCAGGCCTTCCCTCTTGTCAATACTTGACTTTATTTTATTATAATTTTCTATTTTCCCATCTTGAGCACTACTAAGTACTACTAATTACTATTGTTTTGAATTGTTTTTAACTCTTTTAGTTTATAATGTTTAATGGAACCCGCCCGGAATAGACTTTGTTTAAAAGGGTGTAATATTCAGACCTGTGATCACTTCTGACAGTAATTTTAATGACTGCATATGTATGAATGTATGTTGTATGAATGGGCCATATGATATATGGTGACACTGACTCCCCTTAGTGATCCACAAACCTGACTAATTAGGAAGGTTCCAAACTGTGAATTATTTTTAAGTGCATTTGTGAGGAGGTAGAGGCAGCATTAACTTTTAAAAAGTTCATGAGGTAATGTATAATGGAATGCATAGTTGCTTAGACCATATAGTCATCTCTATTTATGATCATAGAAAGCGCGAGAAAGGCTATTCATTTACAAGAAAATAAGGTCCTGTCAGTTCTGCTAGTGCAAACAACCCATTTCATTTTTTAAATGATATCTGAGATGTGTTATTATGACAAAGTACACATTTTAATCTAGCCACTAACTTGCTTTGTTTTTTGATTCCTCAGAAATTTATTGAGTTTGAAGATTCTCAGGAACAAGAAAAAAAAGAACTCCAGTTAAGAGTGGAAGCTTTAGAGTCCCAGACTCGGCAGCTTGAACTGAAAGCAAAAAACTATGCTGATCAAAGTAAGTAGGAATATATTGGTTGATTCTAATGGGTCTACCACAGCATGGCTTAATGTAAGTTTCCGCATTCCTCTTCCAGTATTAAAAAAGTGCAAAATGAGTTTCCATTCTTTAAATCATTGATATTTTTGTCTTTATTCATATATGGGCACTCTTACATTAACTGGTTTTTTTTATAGAACAACTTAACCTTCTTTTTCTTATTCTGTACAACAGCCGTGCCTTTATCTTAATACGTAGTACCGTGGGGATTTCCCCCATATTATTATTGAAGGAAGATGACTGGGGCTGATATACCCATCTAAAAAAAAATAATTTGACACAACCCTCTGGGGATTATGGCATAGTGAAATGATAGTAGAAGATTTCAGTCCTCCACATATTTTCCTTGAAGTCAGTCCAAGGAATTCAACAGGGCTTACTTATGTATGGAGATGCTTAGAATCACCATATTGTAACTGTGTAAAAGTAAACTTTACTGAATCCTATTAAACTAACATCCGAATGAACAAAGTGAGTGCTAGTGTTGTTTTAGCATAAAATACCTGTGGTGTATTGGGGTAGTGCAGTGACTAAGAGATTGAACTATAGACCAGGAAGTCTCTTTTTCAGATCTAATGCTTTCCATGAACTCACTGAATTACTCACGAACTTGCCCAGGCAAATCTTTTATTTTCTTCCATTTTAGTATTAGGGATGGGATTTTTCAGATTTTTTAGATTACAAATCTCACGATTCTCCCATTCTGGGAGTTCTGCTTGCGAAACAGACATCTTACAGGCACCAGATTGTGTCTCACCTAGGAGAAAGGCCTCGGCAGGAATGTGTTGCACACTTTTTTTGATGCTTAGCTCAGCCTAGCACTGCCCAAGCTTCCTGTTTATGTCTCAGGAAGCCAGGGGTTTTCTTACTGAACAGGAAAACAGGGCGAGCTAGGTCTAGCTAAGCGTCAGATCCTTCCAGTTGAAGCCTTTCTCCTAGATGAGCTACATTTTGATATCTGTAAGGCATCCATCAGGTAGGACTCCCAGAATGGAGGATTATGGAATTTTTAGTCAAAAAATCTGAAAAATTTAATTCCTATGCCTTATAGCAGTGGTTCCCAACCTTGAGTTCCCAGATGTTCTGGAGCTAAAAATCCCAGAAGCCTTCACCACTAGCTGTGCTGGCTTGATTATTCTGGGAGTTATACTCCAAGATAATCTGGAAACCACTTCCTATTTTGGGATAGGCAGGATAAAGGAGTCTTTAAGTGAGTGTGATGTGTAGAGTCTGTGAGGTTAGTTAATCTTTGATATAGGAAACTAGTTTATGGGTGTACAGTATGTTATAAATATGAACACACACACACACACACACACACACACACACACACACACACACACACACACACACACACACACACACACACACACACACACACACACACACACACACACACACACACACACACACAGGAGAACAACAAAAGTGGAAAAATGAGATATCTCTTCCAGAAGATCTAAGAAATCAAAGGGAAATTAGGAATGCTGAATGACCAACAGGAAAGCACACTAGCTGATCAGGAGAAAATAAAGAAAAGGTAAAAAAAAGTATGCTGAAGACCTATCGAAAAGAGATAAAACAATAACTGACTTGTTTGATGATGAATCCTATGATGAAGAATCCTATGATGAAGAACCTGATGAAGAATCCTATGATGAAGAGATAAAAGGATGACAGATTCCTTTAGTAAAGAAACACAGAAAGTGAAGTGAAAGATGCTCTGAAAATACTAGGAAGAAATAAATCATCTGAGGTAGATGGAATACTACTTCAAGCCACAGAAATGGAGTCTGTCAAAATCCTAACTAGAATATACCAACAAATACAGAAAATGAAACAATGGCCCACAGACTGGCAACGTTCATTGTACATCCCAGTCCTCAATAGAGGAGACACCAAGGACTGCAATAACTATAGTACCATTGATTTAATTTCCTGTGCAAGCAAATTGATGCTCAGGGTGTTGCAACAAAGGCTTTTACCTTATGGAGCAAGAAATGCCTGCTGTTCAAGCTGGATTCTGAAAAGGAGAAGGCACTCAAGAATATGTTGCAAATATCCTTTGGCTACTGGAGCACACCAAAGAATTTTAGAAAATCAGTCTGTGTTTTATATAGGCTTTGACTGTGTAGACCATGAGAAACTATGGGTGGTTCTGAAAGAAGTGTATGTGCCTCAGCACTTGATTCTCCTGATTGGTAACTTATTTTAGACAAGAAGCTATAGTTGGGACAGAATATCGAGAGACAGAATGGTTTCCTATATAGAGACAATTGTGTTAGACAAGTATATTTTATACCTCTACCTGTTCAGTCTGTACACAGAACATAGCATATGGAAAGTTGGACTGGATTCAGATGAAGGAAGTGGTGGAGGAAGAAACATCAATAATTTAAGATATTCCAATGATACCATCTTACTGGGAGAAAGCAGCAATGACCTGAAACAAATTCAGGCGAAAGAAGAAAATGCCAAAACAGAATTGCAGTTGAACATTAAGAATTCAAAAATCATGACTACAGAAGAACTACATATCTTTAATGTCAACAATGAAGAAATTGAAATAGACGTTTTGTATAACTGAGATTTAGAAGAACAGTAATGAAGAGATTAGAAAAGGTCATCAAGTGTAACAGTGTGTCACTGCAGACCAAGGACAAGATAATCCACATTTTGTATTTCTGATCACCATATATGGGAGCGAAAGCTGGGCAGTAAAGAAAGCAAACAGGAGAAAAATTGATTTGTTTCAAATATAGTGCGGGAGGAGAGCTTTGCAGGTACCCTGGACTGCTAGAAAGATGAACAAGTGGGTCCAAGATCAAATCAAATCTGAACTATCTCTGGAGGCAAAAATGATGAAAATGAGGCTGACCTACTTTGGCTAAATTCTGAGAAGGAGAGATTTTCTGGAAAAAATAATAATGCTGGGAAAATTGGAAGGCGGCAGGAAAAGAGGAATGCTGAATATGAGATGGACTGACTCCCTAAAGGAAGTGACAGGATTGAGTCCACAAGAAGTGAGCAAGGTTGTTGAGGACACATTTTGCAGATTGCTCATTCATAAGGTCGGCATAAGTCCAGGGCGACTTGACAGTAGGTAACAACCACAACAAACAGTTGTTTTATCCTTCATTTTAAATGTTATTTTCCCCTTCCTTCCACTAGCTACATTTCCCAAAGAAATCCCTTTTGTTTATTTTTGAATAAAGCTCTCCTCATTATTTATTGTTAAGTGTAACTAATAAAGATACTGATACAGTGTAGAAAATCATGAATATTATATCCTCATCATGCAAGCTACACAGTACTAAGAAGACAGCATTGCACCAAACAGATCTTTTCAATGAATATTATATCATCATCATGCAAGCTACACAGTACTAAGACAGCATTGCACCAAACAGATCTTTTCATTCAGCAATCAAATTAAATGTAAATACCAGCCGAGGCGAGAAGGCACCAGCAGGTTGGAGCAGTTAAAAGGGCAACCGCAAACACTGTAGAGAGGGTTTTGAAGCCAGCACCTGGCCTATTAGTACTAAGAAGGAGGTTGCTACGTTTAGGGTGAATGTGCCAAAGTGTAACTCATTAATGTGATAGTAGTGATAAGAGATGCCCCTCAAGTATATTGCACACATGACAGGTGCTATTGTGTTGAAATTCAAGAAGTCTGACTCTCGTCAGCACCAGTGAGAGAGCTGACCCAGGACTTTTGCCTTATGTTGATGGAGGAAGCAATATGACATTATATACATGTGGTATTTTGAATTCTCAGAAATGCTTTATAAATGCTGTGTATTGTACTGTTAATATGCTGGGGAAATCAATTCTTTGGTAGAGGAAACATTTTGGGAAACTGCACCATGTAGCATTTTCTGAGCACATGGGCGAGAGCCAGAGCGACTGTCCAACAGGAGACATCTTACCTGACATTTCCCATCATTTGTTTGGGATCAGGGTCTTGTGAAGGCAGTTATATGGACAGGTGCAATAATGTCCTTTTTCTGTTCTGTTTTGTGCCATCGAAGTCACCTCTGACTTACAGTGGCCCTTATTGAGTTTTGAAGGTATGTGAAAAATGAAAGGCTGGTTTTACTATTGCCACTCTTTATGAGTATCTGTGGCTGAGTGGGAATTTGAACCCAGGTCTTCTGAGTCCTAACGCATCATTCTATTTACTAAACTATCTGTGCTGTTTACAGAAAAATGTAATCTGGAGAGTTAAGTGACACGTAACTTTCTTGGGAAAACTGCAGATAATATGATATAAAGAATTCTAGTAGCTTCATATCATATCTGATGCAGCTTTAGAATGGGCTGGTAGGCCTAGTCAGTTAATAATAAATATGGCTAAACTCCAAAGAGTTGCTTAAGCTGATACAATTGAGTCCAGTAGAATTCGCCCCCATCATTTTCAAAAATGATTTACCATGCGGCTGATACAACTGAGTCCAGTAGAATTCGCCCCCCCCCAAAAAAAACTGATGTTCAGATTCCCATCATTTTCAAAAATGATTTACCATGCGTCCTGAGGATAAGAAGCATTGTTGCTGATAGAACAAATGAAGTCTAAACCCCTGATAGAACTAGTTTCATGGTTCCCTGGGTGGTGTTGGTATGCAGTTTCAGAATGAGAAAGGTGATGGTGGTGAAAATAATTCCACATTCTCTCTGAGGAGCTCAGAGGAGTTTAGTACCATCTGGGTTACTTGTGGGCTTGTCAGATCTGTTAAGCAACATATGATGGTTAAAGTAGCATTGTGAGGGTTCAGTAGTCAGCTCCTTTTCTTTTTCAAATAAAGTATCAACTCTCCTCGGCTTAGAAATAGGGGTAACATATATTGGGGTGTTCAACTAAAGTCCAGTACCAACAAATGCATTCCAAACCTTCTCCCCTTTCGACAACGGGTCTGATGGGGGGTTCCTATCTTCTGTTTTGAAAGGGTTCCCAC